GCTATCTAGCCGCAACAGAGAACTATATGTACCCAACAGACTGTCAGACTCAAACAATCACTATTGACAGAACTATCTCAAAGCAGTTGTAGACATCCCCCTAATTTTTGCAAACTCCGTTATCACGAAACTCATTTTGACAGATTTATTTAGAAACCGAGTGAAAACTTTGAAAAAAACTAGCATTACATATCACCTGCATTATGTGAAGGTTGCAGAACTCAGTGAAGTGATTGCCTCATGGTTTTAGCTACATTATGTGAAGTTAGAAGTCAGAACCTCCAATTGATTATGCACAAGCATCCGAGGATGGTTGAAAGGAAGCATGCTGCAAAATCCATGACATAACAGTAGAAAACTACTGAACTCTCACCGCCCTATGAATCACTTACATATCGCCCATTGTCATATTGGCACTAAGTTCCAATTTCATTAAAACTTTAAAAACATGCTTGTTTATATACTTGAAGATGGTTTAACGTAGCATCTACACAAATACAAGGTCAACTAACATATAATTACAATCTTCAAGAGCAAGTTGTTCTGATAACCAACAAATAAAATAGTGCAGTGTATGACTATCCAAATTGAATAAAAGCATGCATGCTATGGTATTTCTATGGAGAACCCCAAGCCACCTTATGCCAAAGCATCTTAGATAAAGACTGCCTGAACTCTTACCTAGCATTATTCACAGATGACAAATTCGCCTCAATTTGGATTAGAATCCACAGCTTCAATAGACATACATATTCTAAGATGAGAAAGCTCTTCAGTACTCACAACTGCGCGCGCACACATACGCACACACCAATAATCTCACCTTCTTACTCAATATCAATAATTTCGCTATTTGAGTCATCCTCAAGAATGTTGTATGCTACCCGAATCAAACTATAAACTAGAGAGAAAATGTCACAAAACATTTCGCTATCCTAGATGCTGTTATCTGATTTGGTATCAGATGGCTCTTTTAAAGCAAACTTGTCTGACATACCTGCGAATCGAAACCCTGGATAGATGTTCAAATTTCCTTTGTTATTACAATATATTAGTGCTTAGTTAGTTGTGTGTGTGTGACATATGTCAAGATATATAGAGATGTCAAAATGAATTTAGTTTGACTGAAGGAGCTCAGAAGTTTAGCAGAAAAGGAAGGAGTGTCCAATCAGGTTAACTTCATCACATCTTGCTCAACAGCTGAAAGAAATGCACTTCTCTTCCAATGCCTATGTGTCCTTTATACGCCAAAGGTCCAAATTACACTGTTTTGTTCCGTTTGATGGGATATAGGTTGGAAAATAAAATTGATATGAGATAATCTGATTGAAGACCTGTAGATGGCACAGAGGGTTCTGCTTGGCTATTGCTAAACTGATCGAAGACCCACAGATGGCGCAGAGAATGGGCATCAATGCGCTACGGCATGTGACAGATTCATTCCCCACAAAAATATTTGGTTGGCATTTGAATCAATACCTTGTTGACGTTGCTGGGACGAAAGAAGGCTGAAGACTGCATGACCTTGTAGTATAAATTGTTCAATTTAATCGCCTAGACTTAAATAAAATTTTGTTGCGTTTAATATATCCATGAATTTACTCCGAGTGTGTCATCTTTTATGCCTTTTGTCTTTTGCATGATGTACCATTTTTCTAAAGTTCATCTGTTTGGTCATGTAGTTGAGAGATGGTTGACTTGTGAATGAAGAGCGAAGAATGAGATTTTCTGCGAAGGTTATGCTTCTCCTGCAGTGTAACATGAATAGGATGTCAATGTATGTAATGTTAAGATAAGGCTTGACCAGCACTGGAACTCTCAAGCCATGTCTGGCATGCATGCCGTATTAAATAACACCATATATCACTACAAGAAAAAAGGTCATTAGTGACCAATTTCCTTGTGACCACATTAATAATGGTCACAAATACAGTGAATTTAATGACCAATAATACTATATGGTCAGTAAATTGATTAAGACATATTTTTTATTTTTTAATGACTAAATTTTCTGACCAGTATTTAAATTAGTCACTAAAAACAACTCAAAAAATAAAGCTAGTGACCAACACATATATGCCAAGCTAGGCTTACTTATGCTATTTAATACATCAGTGACCAATTAACTTTTTTAAACTTTATTTTTTGTTTTCAAAACGCACGTGTTCTGAGCGAGAAGAGCGAAAGCATCTGAAGGAAAAAAAAAGAGGAAAAAAAAAGAGAGCGATCTCAGAGCAAGACCAGCGAGACTAGAGAGAGCAATACCATCTTCTTCGACGAGCGTCGTCCTCTTCGTCTCTTTCATTTCGATTTCTAAGTTTTCTCCCAATATCATGTGAGCTTTCTATTTCTCTTTGCTTTCAATGTTAGTTTTGATTTCATTTGAGCTAGATTTGAGTACGATTGTTACTCTGAGTCTGATTCTCTATTCCCGAATTCCCTAGTTCTCTAGGTTTGATTTGGTAAATAAAGGCTTTAAGCAAAAACTGTGTCCTTAAATCAGCTAGGTTTTCTTTTGGTACTCAGGCAGAGCTTGATTTTAGGTTCAATTTTGATTTCAATTCTGATTATTGCTTTTTTTTTTTTTATGTACTGCTTGTGTGAATTTCAGTTTGCAGTGGACATGTTCTGATATAAAGTAACAATGCATGTCCTGATTAGACTGTTATATATTGTGTTGAATTTCACATTCCATTGATTTTCTGACCAATTTTGTTTGCTTTAGGCTAGTTTCATTCATCTACCTGTAATGCAGTTGACCATGAATTTAAACAGCTTGGAAATGTGGTCCTTTGAACTGATTGTTCTTCTATTTGGTCTTCTTCCAAACCCAAAGTTGGAAACCTCAGTGCTACATTATCATCCCCTCGCCAGTACAGTTGAGGGTCTGGGTAATTATGTTTCGATCTATTCTACATTTGCAGAATTCTGCATGAGTCTTGGTTCCCGGCGGATTTGGAGATCGTGGAGTGAAAGGTATGATATTAGCTGCGAAGTATGCCAGAGAGAACAATGTTCCTATCTTGGGATTTGTTTGGGCATGCAGATTTCCGTGATTGAGTTCACAAGATCCGTAAGCGACATTTCTTTCACTAACATGTTTTCTTCTAATTTTAAGATCATATATCAGCCGTAATTTAATTACTTGTTTTAGGTTTTGAGTTTAGAAAGGGCGGACAGCAAAGAGTTCGATGAACATACTTTGCATTTTCCTTTTGGTTTATAACTTTAAAGGATTTGGAATTGGAATGCTTGAGAAGTTTAACTTTAATTGGAATGCTTGGAATTGTAACTTTAATTTTCTTAGGTTGTGAATGCTTGAGAAGTTGAGGAGATTGTGAATTTATATATGTTTGAGAAATTGAGGTTGTGTATTTATTTGGTCTTCTTCCCAACCCAAAATTGTCATGGGCTATTGTTTCTTTGTGCTGGGTGTGCCAAATTAGGCCCAAACAACACCACATGAAGAGGCAGAAATAAGTAGGGAGATAATTATATAGGGGTGCAAGCTTATTATACGTACAGTGCTAAGTGATGATCATGCAAATTTGTGGTTCGGAACCCAGACAATATGATCGGTGGGAAGGAAATGGCAGATGGGAATTTTTCCGGGCTTAACTTTGAGGATTTGGAAGGCCAAATGCTTTGGGTTCCATTCTGATGTGTCTAGATGGCAGATGGCTACTGCTTTAACCTTCACCCCATCATCGCCTTTCAGGGGGAGAACATAAGCTGCTATTGGTTTTATTGCATGGTAGTAAAACATAGCATAGGGATAGTTCTGCTTATGACACACAACGACATTGTCACCTGCCAGCTTCTTCAATCCCGGCATTGTTGTATACTAGTGCACGGACATGGTGGCTCCTTTTTCCAATACCTCCGTCGAGATTGCTTGAACATTTCTTGTTCTAAGCTTCGAAGTGCTAAAATCAACCATTGATTCTAAAGATGTGGCGCAATATTTTTCCTCTCCCTTAACGCCTGGAGCTTCACACGCTTCGATTGTTTGCTTAATTGTTTTGGCTTCCACAGATGTTGGCTTCA